GGCACCCGCGGCCGGAGCGGCCCCGCCGGGGCTGGGGCCGCTGCCCGCCTGGCCCTGGCCCTGGCCCTGGCCCGGAGCAGGTGAGCGGGGATGGCACCGGGACGGGACGCGGGACAGCGCGGCGGGCTGGGCTGGGCTGGGCTGGGGTCAGCCCGGAGCTGAGTCCCGCTGCCGCTGCGGGTCCGTCCCTGCGGCCTGGAGCAGCCCGAGCTCAGGCGCTGGGCTGCGGGACAGGGATGAGGGGAAGGGAAAACTTTCCTCTTTTTCCTCTCTGTAGGTGATCGGTATAGCGAGACCAAAAATGAACGGTTTAGGCCGTTTTTTTTGTTTATTTGTGTATTTTTTTTTTTTAATATTGCAAGGCAGTTTCTAACACACCCGATGTCTCTGAATTTTGACTAAGAAAAAGCCTGTGGCTGATTCCTGAAGATGCTGCAGGATTTTACTAATCCATGATTCAGTCCCCAGTCCAGAGCCTGGTGCCGAATATCCAAACTCGTTGTTTGCATTTGCGATGGAGCCAGAAACTTGGCTAAACAGCAAAGTGTCAGAGCTAAAACCAGTATGGCAGTGCCTGGGCTGGAGGAAGGTGTCGGAGGTGGGAACCGGATGATCTTCAAGGATCTTTAAGGAGCTTTCTAACCCAAAGCAGTCTGTGATGCCGTGAGATTTTACGGGTGACCTTACACACACTGGCATTTATTTCTCCTTTCATATATCAGGAAGGCACTTCACCGCCAGGGTTTTAATCAAAAACCTGCTGTAATTTCCCAAAGCCTCGCTCCCAAAATCAATTTCTTGACCTTTGCTGTTCCATGGGTCCCTCTTCTTCCAAATTTGCCCTCACCCCTCTTTAATTTTGCTTTGCCTGCAATTTTTCACTCACACAAGTGAAACAGACAAGTGGTTTGTGGCACTTGGCCCTCAAAACTTCATACGTTTAGTGCAGAAGCATCTAAAGAAACTGTTTTTGTTGATCTGTGGGGAAAATTTACACCGTGGTGGTGGATGATATTTCCTGATCTGTCAGGATCTATTTTCACTGGAACTTTATAAGGACAACGACCAAGTGATTTTAACAAAGTATCTCTATTCAGAGTATTTTTCTTGAAATTAAGTATTCCTTTTTAGCACTCAGAGCATGTTGTCCAGGTAAAACCTGCAGCCAGGATTCCCTGTGTATAAAGAACTCCAGATTTGAACCTGATGCTACAATATTCAGACACCAAAAGTATTTGCTAATCTTTTATTAAGTTCTTATCACAACTATTTAATGGATTAATTCTTTCACGAGACAGCATCTGCAGAATTGTGTTAATCTTTATATTGTATCAAACTTCCAGGTATGAAAACACACTTAAACAATTTGCAGAACGATCTCCACTCAGCGTTTCATGTTGGAAATTACACTTGCTATTATTCCAGTGTTAAAATAGAAACAAAAAGTGATGGGTGAAAAGATTTTAATGATGAAAATAGTTTAAAGTGCAATTACGGCTGTTAAGCTGTCAGGTCTCCGTCCCACAAATCCTTAAACACACGCAGAACTTGCACCCAATTAATGAAAATAAGTAGGTCAAGGTGCAGGTTTGTTCCTGGAGAACGTGACAAGATCAGTCATTAAAGAAGAGATAAGTAGCAGGTGTGAATGGGGATCATTATGCGCAGTATTTCCATAAAAGCTGGAGAAACCTGGCTTGCCACAATATTTTGGATCAGCAGAGATGGGGACCATTAATGGGCTGATCCTGCCAGTGCCGTGTGTTTTCCACGGGAAAATCCCACTGGCTGTAATTAGTGGGTTATGTGGAAGTGAATCTGGCGCTGGAGAAGCCGTGGTGCCATCAGTGCTGGCCTTCCATGGCTCCTGGGCTCCGAAACGCTCCAGGCTGTGCTGTGAGGCCTGCAGCAGCTCTCCGGGGCTCTCACCTGGGCCTGGAATCCAGTGCCTGCGCTGGGAAGGGATTTTCAAGGACCTGCACTGAGCAGGGACATCAGCTGGAGCAGGGAGGATGAGGGTGGGGAAGGCAGACCTGCTCTCAGTCAGGTGCCAGTGGCAGTGCTGGTGTTGGATTGTATGTTAATTTATGCTAATGACGGTTGTCCTCAGGCCACAGCTGGAGAGGAGACAGGTCAGATACACTCGTTAGTCCTGCTGAATCATCATCACCCCTGGGGAACCCAGGTGCAGGATGTGGTCCTGCATGAGAGCTGGATCCTGGACGCTGAGCCCGCGTGCCAAGGGAAGGGGAAAGCCAGGGGCCAGTCTGGGGTCAGCTGTGACCATCTGTGCTTTGGGGGTTCTTGAGACAGAGGTGGGATTTTGTGTTCTGCAGCTCCTGATGAAACTGATTGTCCTGTTACAAAGGTCCTGTGCAGGCAAAGGTCAAATCCTGCCCACCTCACTGAGTGCTCTTTGGGTCTGGCTGCACGTCCAGACTGTCCTTGGTGGACCCTGAGGGTGAAATCATGGAACAGACCCTCAAAAGTTCTACTCCAGCTTTTCATGGGAAAAGGAGTGTGGATGAGATTGTCTGGGTAGGGACAGGGCAGGGACATCCCTGCTGGGTTCGGTGCTTTCACCCAGCTCCTTTAGTGCAGACCCCTTCAATTTTTGCTGCTTTCTCACAGGGCTGGAGTTGTCTCACTGTGTCGGGACCAACCCGCTGGGTCCCCCTGGGCCTTGGAGGTCGGGGGGGCCCTGCAAGATGAAGAGAGTCCGCACGGTCTTCAAACCAGAGCAGCTGGAGCGGCTGGAGCAGGAGTTCCTCAAGCAGCAGTACATGGTGGGCACGGAGAGGGTGGACCTGGCTGCAACTCTGCATCTCACAGAGACCCAGGTGAGGGATGGGGAGCTGAGCTGCTGGAACCGATCCTGGGGCTGCTCTGTGCTGACCTTCCCACTGGGAAGTGTGGCGGGAGGAGGACACGGTGCAAAGTGACCCGTGGGACACCCTGCTGCCAGGTGACATTGAAGAGATGTGCCTAGAGGTCGGATGGTTTCTGGACAAGATTTCAGAATCCATGAAGTGGAACAAAAAGCATTCAGCAGCATAACCCTGCTGTGCTTTAGAGTTCTAACTGGGCTGGTTGCTGTGTCTGCATTGTCACGATCCTCTGGAGACTGTTTCAAGTGTCCTTTTACGACACTGGATATAATTGTTTCCCTGCTCTGCCCTGTGAGTTCCTGCTCCTCCCACTGTAAATTGCTTGTTTAGTGTGGAAGGAAGGAGCCAGGTGATCTTCCACAGTGGGATCTAAATTCAGCTGGGAAAAGGGAGAGCAAAACAAAGCCAGTTCTGGGGGACAGTGGATAATTATCGGGGGGCTCATCATGCCCTATGGCAACTGCAGTCCTGGGGATGGGTTCAGGGGCTCCTTAGGGAGCTGCTTCCTTCACTTCCCTGGCCAGAGCCTTCTCAGTGCAGCTGCACCCCCTGCCCCCGATCCTTTCCCATCACCACTCTGCCCTCTGTAGTTTCACCTCTCCTGTTCTCCTTCACTATTCCCTGAGGGAATAATGCACATCCCCAATTTGAGGAACTCTGCTTTTTGGGGATACCCACCTCGGAAGTACGTGGATTGGAAAAGGGCTCCTGGAGCCCTCGGGTTAAGCTGTTGTGCCACTTCCCCTCCAGGTCAAAGTCTGGTTCCAGAACCGGAGGATCAAGTGGAGGAAGCAGAGCATGGAGCAGAAGGCGGCAAAGCTGTCGCAGTTCGGGGTGATCCAGCCTGCGAGCGCCGACTCCACCGGCAGCAAGGACCACGAGGAGGACCCCGTGGACGTGGAGCTTTGAGCAGCCGAGGGGACCAGGCTGCTTTTTGATGCCTGGGGACTTGTCTGGGCTGCTCTGGTCCAAGTGAGACTGATCTGAGAGCTGGAGCCACAGGACTAACTGCAGCTGGCTGGAAGGAACCTCCTGCATTTCTTTGGTTGAATTTCTTTGGCTGCTGTTTGGTAGCCAAGTGCTGTAATTCCTGGGTCTTCATCACTTGGCAGGTGATCTGTTTGCTCATGAAGCACCAGGACACACAAACAGTTTCCAGCAGAAAGCCTGGGGTGACAGTCGGGGTGTCTCTGGTGCTGGGGTGAGATTCAGAGTGACTGATACTGGGGTGACAATCAGAGGGCGATTCTGATGTTGGCGTGACAATCTGCTGGTTTCTCTGGTGTGGGGGTGACAGAGGGTTACTCTGAAGCTCGGGTGACAGTGTCTCTGGTGCTGGGGTGACAATCAGAGGGTGATTTTGAGATGACAATCAGAGAGTCTGATGCTGGGCAGGCAATGGGATCTGTCTCTGATGGCTCTGAGCACAAGGGCATTTAAAACCAGGGTCACTCATGTTATGTGTGGCTGTGTGCCCTGATCGCTTCTTCCTCTCGACTCCTATGTTTGATGCTCAGGTCAACCACAACCAGAACACCCCAACGGGCTGCCACACTGGACTGCTGGATGCGAGGAGCAGGGTCTGACCCTGCCCTGGAGCAGAAGTGCCTCCTCCCGTCAGTGCCTTGCTGTGTCTGTGCCTTTTCCATGGCTCCCCAGAGCTGGGTCCAGCCCCGGGGGGGTGACAGTCGGGGTGTCTCTGGTGCTGGGTGAGATTCAGAGTGACTGATACTGGGGTGACAATCAGAGGGCGATTCTGATGTTGGCGTGACAATCTGCTGGTTTCTCTGGTGTGGGGGTGACAGAGGGTTACTCTGAAGCTCGGGTGACAGTGTCTCTGGTGCTGGGGTGACAATCAGAGGGTGATTTTGAGATGACAATCAGAGAGTCTGATGCTGGGCAGGCAATGGGATCTGTCTCTGATGGCTCTGAGCACAAGGGCATTTAAAACCAGGGTCACTCATGTTATGTGTGGCTGTGTGCCCTGATCGCTTCTTCCTCTCCACTCCTATGTTTGATGCTCAGGTCAACCACAACCAGAACGCCCCAAACGGGGAAGCCCTTTGCTGCCACACTGGACTCCTGGATGCGAGGAGCAGGGTCTGACCCTGCCCTGGAGCAGAAGTGCCTCCTCCCGTCAGTGCCTTGCTGTGTCTGTGCCTTTTCCATGGCTCCCCAGAGCTGGGTCCAGCCCCGGGCGGTGTGTGTGCCCCGGCACTGCTGTCCTAGCCCAGGGGGTGGGTGTGTGTGTGTGTGTGTGTGCTGCTGCAGGGCTGGAGCTGCAGTAAAAAGCAGCTGCAACAGCTCAGCTGCTGCAGCAGACAGCCCCCTGCCCCGCGCCAGATGTGCCACTGTGGCCCAGACAAGGCAGCTGCTCCGTTCTCTCCTCATTATCCCCGCAGGTGCCCTGGGACACAGCACCAGCGCTCCCAGCACATCTGCAGCAGCCAATGCGGTTAACAGCTGGATTTTTGGGGGCGGGGAGGGCTTTGGGGGGGCCAGGACTAAGGGCTCAGGCTGTCACCTTGCCTTTCTATGGCTGCCCATCAGCTCAGGATAATTTATTCCATCTCTTTCTGACCTAGAACACTGTATATCACTTTACTCTTACATTGTTATTTATAGAAATACCTTTTGTTGTTGTTGTTGCCTTAATACTTGTTGCTTATTTATTTTCCTTGTCTCTTGGTAAAAATTGAGTTAATTTTAAAAAGAGAGATGGAATGAGCATAAAAACAAAAACCAGATGGAAAGATTTCCAAGTACTCATATTTTTCAATTGAAATTAGTAGCAAAAACAAATAAACCAAATATATTTTCATCTTTCTCAAAAGAGTTTGAGGGGTTTTTTCTTAATAAACTATTTTGGACAAAATATATGCTAAGCATATTTTTTCAATTTATTGATGACCCCATATTAAAGTAGATGAAGGGAGTTACTATCTCTGGGCTGGTTCCTGCTGAGATATAATTACATTTTCAGTAAGACCAGTCATGCCTGGTGAGTATGGGGTGCTCAGGCTCCTGGAGAACAAGAACCTGTGTCTGCAGGTGGATGTGGCCAAACCTCTGCAGCTCCTGCTCTGCCAGCCTGAGGGGCTGGAGTGTGGCCAGGGCAGGGAGCAGAGCTGGGAAGGGGCTGGAGAATTCCTGAGGGAGCTGGGAAGGGGCTGGAGAATCCCTGAGGGAGCTGGGAAGGGGCTGGAGAATCCCTGAGGGAGCTGGGAAGGGGCTGCAGAATTCCTGAGGGAGCTGGGAAGGGGCTGCAGAATCCCTGAGGGAGCTGGGAAGGGGCTCAGCCTGGAGCAGAGGAGGCTCAGGGGCCCTTGTGGCTCTGCACAGCTCCTGCCAGGAGGGGACAGCCGGGGGGGTCGGGCTCTGCTCCAGGGAACAGGGGCAGGAGAGGAATGCCAGGATCACTGAGGCTGGAAATCCCTCCAAGGTCACCAAGTCCAAGCTGTCCCCAGCCCGGGGCTCTGAGTGCCACCTCCAGGCTTTCCTTGGACATCTCAGGGGATGGGGACTCCAATCCTCCCTGAGCAGCCCCTTACAGTGCCCATTCTACCCCTTTCCATAAAGAAATCTCTGAAGAAATGGCCTCAGGTTGTGACAGGGGAGGTTTATAGAGGTTTATATTGGATGTTGGGGAAAATTCATTCACAGGAAGGGCTGTGCAGCCCTGGCACAGCTGCAGTGGTGGAAATCACATCCCTGGAGGGGTCTAAAAGCCATGTGGATGTGGCACTTGGGGACATGGCTCAGTTGTGGCCTTGGCAGTGCCAGGGAACATTGGACTAGTCTTAGTGGGCTTTTCCCACATAAATATTCCACGAATCGCTGAGGATGTAATGGTGAATGACAGCAGCATTGCCCCACCTGTGCCGTGTCCTTGCGGTCCCTGCCACGGGCACAGTGCGATGGAGCACAGCCTGCCCGGGCTCCACCGGCCCCGGATCCCACAGCACGGCCAGGGGACGTGGCCCTGGCAGCCTGTTTGTCGCCTGTCCCCCGGCCGGTGGCCGGAGCAGTGCCCATCCCTGCGGCCGTGCCGCGGGTCGGCGGCCAGTGCTGAGGCCGTGCTCAGCTGCTGGCCCGGGCATGGAGGCGGCAGCTCCCGCCTTGTCACCCGCTGCCACGAGCCGACAGTGACATCTAGTGACACCAACTCACTGCCCAAAGCCCCGAACACGGAGTCGTGCTGAATTCCCAGCCCGCTCCCGCCGCCCGGCCAGCGACGAGCGGGGCTGAGCCGCCAATTAGTAAATACAACCAAACACGCGTTTCCCTGGACTCTAAGGCTTTGCAGACCCCCATGCAGGAGGCAGCCAGGGCAGAGTGGCCACAGTAGCGCGTTTTGAAGGCTTTTTTGGGGGAAATCGGGCCACTTTGGGTGCGCAGGGCAGCGGGCGATGCCTCCTCTCCAGGAGGGGAGACCTCGAGTGAGGGGGGACCTGTGACTACTCCCCTATCGTTAAATAATAACAACTGACTGGGGAGAGGCAGCAAACTCCTGCGCGATTTGGGGTGGCAGCGGCAGCGCCCCGGCCCCGTTTTGGGGTGTTTTGCCGGTGTTTTGGGGTGTTTTGGCTGTTTTCAGACGCTGGCCGGGGGCTGTGGAAGGGGGGCCAAGATGGCCGCCGGCCCCCGCGCCCCGCGGCTGAGGGGGGCGATGGCGAGCGCGGACCCCTGAGGGGCGCAGGGGGCGGCGGCGGAGGAGGAGGAAGAGGAGGAGGAGGAGGAGGAAGAGGAAGAGGCGCTGCCCGGCGGGTCAGGGCGGGGAAGTCGCCGCCCGAAGATGGCGGCCGCGGCGGGGCCACACGCCGGGGCTGCGGCGGAGGCGCGGTTCATCAGCAGCGCCAAGGTGAGCAGCCCGCGGTCTGCCCCCCGTGAGGGGCTCTCCCTTCCCGGCCGGCCCGGGGGGCACAGCGAGGAGAAGCCCGCAGGGGTGGAGGGCGTGCAGGGATTCCCTCAGCTCCCGGGTATGACTCGGCTTGAGGCGCGTCCCTGACCTGCGGCTGTCCCTCGGCAGGGAAAGGGCTTGTTCGCCACCAGAAACATCCGCAAAGGGGAAACAGTCTTCGTGGAGAGGCCGGTGGTGTCGTCGCAGTTCCTCTGGAATGCCCTGTACAACTACCGAGGTGAGCGGCTGGTGCTGGTGGCACGGCCCCATCCCTGTCCCCCGTCCCGGTGGGGTGACCGCGGGACCGCAGAGGTACCGAGGGAAGGGTTTGGGTTTGTCTTAGCGCCTCTGTAAAGGTGGCCCTGCTGCCTTTTCTGCCTTTGCACCAAACTGTTGACAAGTTCAGATGCCATCTGAGGAATGGTGACTTCCCTCAGCTCTGGAGGAATGTGCCAGGTGCCACCAAGGAATCTTGGAATGGGTTGGGTTGGAAGGGGCCTTAAAGATCATATTCCATCCCTAGCATGGGCAGGGACACCTTGCCCTAGCCCAGGTTGCTCCAAGCCCCATCCTCTTGTTCCTGTTTGGTGTTGGTACCACTTGTGTTGCTTTGCCCTGGGTTCTGGTCCCTTTGCTTTCTGAAGGCTTTCCAGTGGCATCCATCCTTCATCCATCCCTCCATCCCTCCCCGCTTCCTGTGTCCCCCAGCCTGTGATCACTGCCTGCGGGCGCTGGAGACTGCGGAGGAGAACGCCCAGCGCCTGCTGGGGAACAGCTCTCTGGTGCTGCCTCACCCGGAGCAGTGCAGCATCCGGAAAGACCTGCACCAGCAGTGTCCCCGCTGCCAGGTACAGGACTGCCAGGAGGGACCGTGCTCTCCTGGGCATCCTTGAGTCCTTCCCATCCAGCCCGGCTCTTGTGCTGTCTGTCTTTCCGTGCTGTGGGCCAAAGAGCCAGGGCTCTGCTGGTCAGGGAGGGGGCACAGCTGGATCCAGGAGCCCTTTCCTGCTGCCACAGCAGTGCCAGGCTGTCCCCTCGCTCTAGGTGACGTACTGCAGTGCAGAATGCAGGCAGGCAGCTCTGGAGCAGTACCACCAGGTGCTCTGCCTCGGCCCGTCCCGGGACGACCCCACGCACCCCCTCAACAAGCTGCAGGAGGCATGGAGGTAGGGCCTGACCCACCTACAGCCCCATGGGCAAGGGAGGTGACTCTCCTGGGCTGGCTCCTTGCTGTGCATCCCTGCACAAGGTGGCTGGAGGGAGGGGGTGGCCGTGGGACACTGCCCAGCTCTTTCTCCTGGTGGGCTGTTGGGATGTTCCAGCCCAGGGCTTTGGACACACAGCTGAGCACTCCTTATTTTTCTCCCACTAAGGAGCTACAAAGCGCTGAGCTGTGCACATCCCTCACTCCTGCAGTTTTGTGGTGCTCCTGCAGATCTCCAGCCTCTGGGAGATCCTCCTTGTAGCATCCCATGGGCCCATTTCTGTCCCTGCTTTCAAAAAAAATGGTTCCAGAGGGGATAAGCAACATCCCTGACCCAAACCTTGTCCCAAGCCCCAGCAGAGTGAGCAGGATGGAGGGGGATTGTTTGTATGGGTGGAGCAGGCAGGTGGGTGCAGGTTTTTCCCCACACAGCAATGCTGCACTGTGCTGGATCAGTGCAGGC